AAAAAAAAAAAAAAAGCATTTGGCCTGTAAGTGTCCGTCCAAGGTTAATTTTTTGTATCAGTTTTCTTTCCAAGTTTTATTTAACAATATTCCAGGGGTGCCTGACCCTCCCCTGCTCATGCTGTCTCTGTATCTCTCAAAAGTAAATAAAACATTACAACAAAAATTTTTTTAAAAACCACCAATATTCCATATTTTTAATGGGCCAGTTGCATATGTGTTACCTTGGTTTGATTGGGTTAATGAAGAGTCAAAGAAAGTTATTCTAGAAACTCGAGTTTTATTTATTTATTTTTTCAAAAGGCTATATACCCCCTTTGTTTATTTTAGATGTTTCATTTTCCATATTCAATTTTATTATCTAAATCTTGCATAATTTAAACTTATTTTTTTCAACATGCACCATATGTATTTAGAAATTCATTTTTATATCTTACATTTAGGCAAATCAGGGCAGATTTTTATTTTAGTTTCTTTAAACTCACTTGAATTATATCCATTGTATATGTACTTACGTAAAATGATTAGACTTCAAAATGATTCCAGTTGAAACATAATTTCACACTTAAGAAGTTAGCTTAAAATGTGCCATTAATCATTGCCTACTTCACACACAAAAATAAGACTTTATATAGATCTTTGCTTCATAAGAATTTAAGCACACTTTTGTATTCCTTTCTTGTAGACTTAGTTCAACCTAAAATTTATGGCTGGGAAAAGCTTAAAAGACTACCCATTATTCTAGCACCAGGGCTAGAAGAGAAAACTTTGGAGGATCTATTAGAGCAAAGAGTCCTTAGCTAGTGGATTGAACCAAACTACAAGTTCTCAGAGTCCACTTCAGATAGATGTCCGAGATTCTCTTTTCAGTGGACACTTGGTAGTTTTGCCCCTTGATCTTGGGTAGGGCACTTATCTCTGCACCTCTGTTTCATGGGTTGTAAAATGCCCTGACCTCCTCTCAGTGCTCACATGAAAGCGTGTATATGATGAGAAAGCTTTGGACATATTTAGAAGGGGTAAATATGAAAGTGTATGGTCCACAGATCACTTTCTGCTTATATTCCTCTTGATCATGTTCTTCTTTACTTAGAGTTGGCCTGAGACTTTCAGGTAGAAAGAGTTGTCAGTGTCCTTTCAACATCTCATTTCTTTCCTGTCATCCTGAGATTGCAGGGCTATAGGACAATGAAAAGTAGTTTCTTCCTAATGGAAAGACCTTTGTTCTTCAGTACTGCTTCACTGGGAGTTCATTTTTTAATTTGAGATATTTTGATATCAGTGTGAAGCTCACAGTTAAAGTCTAAGTATTTTATCTCTAATTGCTAGCATTTACTGAGTATATGCCAGGCTTTATTCTTCACAAGAGAGAGTCACAGAAAGCTTGAGTGATTGTCCAACATTGTAGAGCTGGGATTGAAATGTAGGCATGTTGCTTCTAAAGCACAGACTCACCATCACTGTGCCATACCGCCTCACCTATTATTATTCAGCCCTCAGAGCCAATGTGAGACTTGAAAAGTGATGCATGGTCATTGTACAGAAACCAAAAACTCGTTAATTCCATAATCCACAGATACCAGTGTTAGAGCAGTTCCTTTTCATTTTTCCTATATCAAATCATTTCCCTGTGACTGTACGTTCACATTATTTCTAATTCCAACTCTGTTCTAAATAATGCTACAGTGATATTTGTAGAAGTAGATTATTGGATCAGAGGGCATTGATCATTAATGCCATGTAATGATTCCCAGATTGTCATTGGAAAGGCTTATACATTATATTCTCTTCAGCAGTGTGTGACAGAGCCCCATTTAGGTTTGTTTCAAAAATGAGGATGTGGGGTATCTGGGTGTCTCAGTCAGTTAAGCCTCTGACTTTGGCTCTGGTCATGATCTTGCAGTTCGTGAGTTTAAGCCCTGCATTGGGCTCTGTGATGACAGCTCAGAGTAGAGTCTGCTTTGGATTCTGTGTCACCCTCTCTCTCTGCCCTCCCTTGCTTGTGCTCTCTCTCTCTCTCAAAAATAAATAAAACATTAAAAAAAGAAAAAGTTTCCAAAACTGAGGATGATAGAAAAAAACAGTTATTTTTTTTTGCTCTGTTTTGAATGCTATAGCTTTACCGTTCTTGAACTTTATTTTTGACAGATATTTTTAAAAATTATTTATATTTATGGCAGTGGTTCTCAAATAAGGAGTGATTTTTTGCCCCCCAGGGGTATTTGGTGATGCCTGGAAACTTTTTTCTGTTTTGTTTTTTCTATTTTGTTTTTTCTTTTTTGAAAGAGTGTGTGCTCACATGCAAGCAGGGGTGGGGGAGGGGCAGTGGGAGAGAGAAAATCTTAGGTGGTCTCCATGTTCAGCGCAGAGCCCGATGTGGAGCTCGATCTCACACCATTGAGATCAAGACCTGAGCTGAAATCAGAAGTCAGATGTTTATCTGACTGAACCCCCTAGACACTCCTGGAAACATTTTTTATTGTCATAAGTTGGAGTGGTGCTGTAGGCATCTGAGGCTATAAATGCTGCTAAACATCCTACAATGCATAGGACAGGCCCACCACAAAAAAATTATCCAGTCTAAAATGTCTGTAGTGCTGAGGCTATAAAACCCTGTTTTATAGTAAGCTCTTGAGATCTTGAAGGAATGTATTGTCAAGATGCTCTAAACACGTGTACTGGGCTTTACTTAACTATCTAGGAATAGAAAAGTCCATGTTTTTTGGCTTTAACAATGAAGCAGGCAAGCTTTGTTTGGTTAGTCTCTGGATTGTTGAGTGCTTCCTATTTCAGATATAAAACCTAATGGAATCAGTTCTCAGAGAACTTTCCTTAAGCCCCTTTTAGCAGTTTTTAAATGTTTTCTGTCACTCTGATACTGATTTTACAGTTGTATCTTCCTTTAGATTTGCCTTAGCTTTTTTGGGGGGTAGGGGTTACCATTAAAATATATGATGTCTCTGATTACTAAAACAAAAATCCAAATGCTTCTTGTGGGAATTAGTAATTAGAATGTTTTTGGAATCTAAACCCAAAGCAACTTTTCTAACATAAAACTTAGTTATTTGGGGTCTTTTAGTTGAGATTCAAATCGTTTGTCTTTATCTTAATTTTCACATTTATCATTTTTCTTCTCTTACTAGTTGTATAATAAAAACCTGGTTGTAACTAATGATGGTACGCATAAACATATCATTAGGACTTCATTTCTTATCATTAACAGGCAGGAAAATGTTCAGTACACCCAAATTCCTGTCTTTTAGCTATTAATCCTTGTCAAGAAAAATGATATCTTATTTGTTGGGGGGAAGGGATACTGAAAGTCAAATTTATTATTAATTTGTTATTTTTTTATGTAGGTTCCAAAAAACTCGTGAATTTCTCTGAATTCTCTTAAATACAGATTTTGTGACTGGTAGAACTGAAATAATTATTGTATTTATTTTTATAGTTCTGCTTTTTCTAAAAAAGAAGCTATACAGGAGCTTTGTCCTTTTGTGCTTCACAGGAACCAGCACCTATGACAGAAGATCTGCTAGAGGAGCAGTCGGAGGTTCTGGCTAAATTAGGAACATCAGCAGAAGGGGCTCACCTCCGAGCACGCATGCAGAGTGCCTGTCTGCTCTCAGATATGGAGTCTTTTAAGGTGGGTCACACTGTCAGAGCCTCGGAGTCTATTTGGAGCTATTCTAGAATGAAGCTGTGAAAGTCACTCTCTAAAGTGGTGTGAAGGCCTGAATGTCTTCTTTACTAAATGTTTTTATTTCATTAGTAGTTACAGCATCCTACATTTTTTTCCTAAAGGTCATAGCCAGACTTGCTTCTTAAATTTAAAACAAGAAAAGAATGATCTTTGAATAGTAGTTGAAAGTTGGGAATTGAATCATTTCTATATGTACATTGGAATGTTTTTCTCCCTTGTGTGTTCATCCAATTTAATGCACAGCTCTTCGGAAATCCTTAAGATTTAACATAGGGTACTTCATTCAACAAATCTTTTGATTGCGTACTTTATGACTTGCACTGTGATTAGATAAGAAATAACAATGTTTATACTCAGTTACGGTCTGTTGAAGTTTTGAAGGGAGATATGTAAGCAGCTATGTGATGAGTTCACTTATGAAGGTAGTGTCAGAAAAGTGACTAACTCTTCCGAGTGGGTCATGGAGGGTTTCTCAGAAGAGTCACTACTTTAGGATAGGTAGGCATTTGGTATCTGGAGAAGAGTATTTTAGCATTAGATATAGGCCTGTGTTAGAACATAGAGGATTCAGAGAAGAGTGACATTTGGCTTATTAGCTTAAAAACCCAGGGATGAAGAAAGGTCTTTTTTTTTTTTTCTAATGTGTATTATATATTCATTTATTTTTGACAGAGCACAAGCAGGGGAGGAGCAGAGAGAGGGGGGCAGAGGATCTGAAGCAGGCTCTGCGCTGATAGCAGCAAGCCTGATGCAAGGCTCAAACTCAGGAACTGTGAGATTATAACCTGAGCTGAAGTCAGTGCTCAATCAACTGAGCCACCCAGGCACCCTTGTTTTTGAATTCCTTATTCTTGAAATTAGAGGTAAGGCCATGTATATTAAAACAAAACAAAACAAAAAACCCAAGTGGGAAGCCTAGTAGGCCATAGGCCTTCCCTGTATCTCCTGCTGATACTCTGAACTGTTTCCCATGCCCGGATTTTCCTCCTTAACCTGCTGCTATTTGGGATGGCCTCCATCTCCCCATTCCATAGTCTCCAGTCAGTCCTGCTTTTATGCTCTATGCCAACTTGAGTTTCATTTTTTTTTTTCCACATAAATACCCTGTGAAAACCTATGTCATTTTTTTTTTTTTTTAATGTTTTATTTACTTCTGAGAGAGAGAGAGAGAGAGAGAGAGAGAGAATCTGAAACAGGCTCCAGGCTCCGAGCCAGCACAGAGCCCAACGCGGGGCTTGAACCCACAGACCGTGAGATCATGACCTGAGCCAAAGTCAGACGCTTAACCAGCTGAGCCACCCAGGCGCCCCCCTATGTCATTTTTATCTTCCCTGTTAGCAGATTTTAGGACAGTAAAAGGGAATGCTTTCATTCCCTGCTTATTTCCCCCAGTTTTACCAAAAGAAAAAAGTCTTTAAAACTATTTTGTTTTAAAACAAAATAGTAACATTGGATAAAGAGAGGACAGTTGGCCTTCAGGGTGTGTGTTAAATCAGAAAGGTAGAGGGCCGCATGGGTGGCTCAGTTAGTTGAGCGTCCAACTTCGGCTCAGATCATGATCTCACAGTTCATATGTTCGGGCCTCTTGTTGGGCTCTGTGCTGACAGCTCAGAGCCTGGAGCCTATTTCAGATTCTGTGTCTGCCTCTCCCCTGCTCACACTGTCTCTCTCTGTCTCACTCTCAAAAATAAATAAAGATTAAAAAAAATTAAAAACAAAACAAAAAGGTAGAAAAGGGAATTGGCTTACGGTGTGTGTGCACAGAAGGAAGTACTGGCCTCTGTAGCGGTTGTTTTCCTACCTGACCTCTAGCTGCCTTCGTATTTGTCTGCCCCTGTCCTGCGGCAGCGCCCTTGCAGAGGCACCTCTAGGAGGAAACTCCTAATCGGAACTGTAAAAGCTTTCCTCATAGAACCATATTAGCCCCTTATGGGAAGGTTCTGTGTGATTCAACACTGTACTTCAGCAAAATTGAGCTCATTAGACTCTTTTATAGTAACCTGGGTACCTACAAATCTCTTAAAGTACTTTTAATAAAAAGATTATATTTCAAATTGCCAACTTAACACATCTTCCCTGCCTATGTGGGAATCAGTTGATATGTCTAAGGAAGTACATAGTCACTGTAAAATAGATATGGTTGTGTCTCCCTTTTTATTTAGAAGAGATTTGGTTTTAGGGGCCCTTGGGAGAGTCTGCAGTTTTGGGTGAATGCTGATCAGTACTGTAGGTACCTGCACCTCTCAATTCTAGAAAGACAGGGCCTGTTTGCAAGCATGCCCTTGGAGTACATACCTGTAACAGTGAAAGAAGATAAAACATAGCTGAAGTGAGCCTTGACCCTTTCTTGGTAGCTATAGGTTAAGCCTGGTACAGTAAGGCAAGCCAGAAAGAAGAATTTTGGTATGAAAAGTCTTTTATGTGGTACAAGATGTTTTTATGTGTATGTGTACAACATGTTTTTATGTGGATGTCGTGTTGCCTCGTTAATAACCAGATCTTTTTACATGAATGCTGAGTCATGCAGTAATCTTGACCCATTGCAGTTCACAGCATTTTTTTATTGCCATGATGCCATAGTTGTTAGTTTATGTTGCTGACTCTCAGTTAAGGACCTTCCTCTGAGTCCTCATCCCTCAGGAGGACTTCCTGAATTGATAGGGATGGTGAAGCTGGTAGCCAGGGAACTTAGTGAGGACAGATGGGCAGTTTTGCTCTTCACATTTAAGACTACTGTTCTTTTCACGTCTGGTTTCATTTTGGTCTGGGATTATTTTAATTTAAAAAGGAAGAAAATGACCTTTCTGTTTATTAGCACATCCTTGTTAATGTTTATATCACTTAACTATTACAGGTAAATAAAATAGTCCTCATAGCAGGAAGTATATGTTATGGTAGAGAATATAACCAAAAAGGTATTTGTTTAATGTGTGTACAATTGTTCTTTGAGTTTGTATATACATACATACATACATACAAACATACATACATGCCCATCCTTAGTACTCTACTACTACATCACTGGACACTTGCAAAGACTTCATGCCTTACCACTAATACTGTGAAGCCTCTACTTTTTCTCCAGGCTTAAATGTAGAATTACTTAAGAACTCTGGCATGTATCATCATTAATTCTATAGACTTATCCAGTAAATAAAAGTTTAATTAGTTGGTTTCAGAAGCTGAAAAGCAGTAGTTTGAATTCCAGTTCCTTAACAGCACATAAACAATGTATGTGATGGTTATTTGTTATATAAAGCACAAGAATTTAATAGCTGAATTGAGCACTTCCGAGGTTGGCTGATACTTATTGCAGTACCAGTATTGATTTCTTGAGCGGGGAAAAAAGTAGAACTTTTGCATTATTGTGTTATTATTCTAATCATGTTGTGTATTATTTAATTACTTGAGTCAAGCTTATTTGATACTTTTCCAACTATTGAGTAGTTACTGTATTATAATTTTAAACTCACTTATATAACTTATAATCCACTTAAGGCAGTTATTTTCACTTCACAACAGATTTTTATGTCTAAATTCATCAAGTGAAAATGTGTTCTTTCTCTGCAAAATGGAGACAACAAAAGAAAATGGTTTTGGTACTTGAACATCTTACCTGTTTTAAAGGCAACCCCTAGACACATGTCACATATTAGATTTTGTAAAGATTAGGTAATTTTTTGTGAAAGTATGGTTTTGCAAACAGCCTTATCACTAACTATTGATTGTTTAGATTCTGCTGAACTTTTTTGCCTTATTTTAGGCAGCAAATCCAGGTTGTTTTCTGGAAGATTTTGTGAGGTGGTACTCACCCCGGGATTACATTGAAGAGGAAGTCATTGATGAAAAGGGCAACATGGTTCTGAAAGGAGAATTGAGTGCCCGAATGAAGATTCCAAGCAATATGTGGGTCGAAGCCTGGGAAACAGCTAAGCCAATTCCTGCTAGAAGGCAGAGGAGACTTTTCGATGATACACGGGAAGCAGAAAAGGTAACTGAGGTTTGGGTATCTAATATTAGAAAGCTATCTAACTATTGTTCTAACATTTTAAAAACTTACTATAATAGTTGTTAAAACTTTAGACACACTTGAGAATCAAAGCATTAAAATTTAATGAGGCTTTTTTGTGTCTCCTTTTCATATTTAAGATTTTAAAACTACTTCCAAATCGGCCAAAGAATAAGACATGCATATTTTATATAGAATGCTTACCATTGGACTGTCTCATAGCATATGACAAAAGCCTTAAAGATGGTCACATCCTTTGACGTAGCAGTTGTAATACCAAAAAATTTATTAAGGAAATAATGAGAAATACATAAGAATTAATGTATAAGAATGATGTTCAACAAAGTTTTCTAATGACAAAGTAGATCCAATAAAAGTTTCCAAGAATAAGTCTTGGTTTAATAAATTATGGTATAATCCGTTTAGTGAACTGCTTTGTAATTGTCAAAAAACATTTGGAGTTCTGGAGAATAGTGACAGCCACCAAATAACATTGTCCTACAGACTCTCCTCCCAGCTGTACCCCCAGAACCTCATGAAATTAGTAAATTAATAAATCTATACCTTTGGCATTACTAAGAGATAGAAACCATAGTGACCTTCAGATTAACTTTAAGTTGGGAAATAAGCCAAATTTCAAAGGAGTTCCCAGTGCTATAAGTCTGTGGGTGTAGAGGGTGGGGTTAGGGAGTCTTCAGAAGATGAGCTGAGGGATATAGAAGACTTAAATGGAGCACAGAGTCACCCCAGAAGGAGAGAGCCTAAGATTAATACTCCATGCAGGTATGGCTTGATAATTCACAGCACTGGCTATGGAGAAGGGACTTAAAGTAAGTAGGACTAGAAGTAGATACTAAGATATTGCCTTGGGAAGGACTATGTAGATATATGGTGAAGGAATTATCCCTTTGAGCAAGGTGGTGATGGGAAAAAAGGTAGAGGGAAAATAAGGAATCCTGCAGAAATGCAAGAGAAACAAGAGCTATCAATCTCCATCACCTCTCCTTCCCCTAATCCATTAAAGAAATGGTGCAGAAGAGGGCACTTTTAAAGTGTGACATGACTAGGATTAGTAAAGAGCAGACATATCCTTACAAAACTACTGTTAAGAAAGAAAGAGAGAGAGAGAGAGAGAAAGGAAGGAAGGAAGGAAGGAAGGAAGGACGGAAGGAAGGAAGAAAAAGAAAGAAAACAGAAAATGCAGATTGGATCATTGCAGCTAATGAAAACATTTCCCAGAAAAATGACCACAAAACACAAAAAAAATGTAACACTCCAAATGGAGTCAGATGTCTTCAAACCAGCATGGAGGATATGAAAAATCATGTTTAATCAGAAAAATTAAAGCCAAGAGCAGAAATGGACCAAAACACCCCATGAAGAAATGAAGCCACAGCTGGTTTAACTCAGGATAGGAGTAGATGAAAAAGACAACTATATAAAAAATAAAGACAAAATTACAAAGGGGCCAAAGGAGAATAGATTTGCATTTAAATTTAATAAAAGTAAACAAGAAAAAACAGAAATAACCAGAAAATGAAAATATATGAACAGTTAAAGGAGTTGAAGAGAAACTAGTAAAAACGGAAGATAGGAAAAGTAGAAATAATACTCATTTTATCAGTCTTTGAAGACGAAAAATCAAAACACTAGAACAGAACTAATATTTGAAACTGCAATCCAAGAAAACTTTCTGGAAATAAAACCTGAATTTATATTGAAAGAACTCCCTGGGTATAGAGGAAGATGCACCAGAAGTAATGCACTCCAAAATACATCACTATAAAACTGCCAGAACTTAAATATTTAAAGAAAAAAATTATCAGGACTTCTAGGCAAAAAAATGAAAATAATTAACAAGGGAAAAAGAATTAGATGTCAGATTTCTCAAAGGCAAGGCAACGTGGAGCAACATTTTCAAGAAATGTAAGCCAAAAGTATAAACCAAAGATTTTATATGTCACCAAAGTGTCCACATAATCAAGACTATAAAAATATTTTCTTTGAGTTTTTGTACATACACATTTCTGTACATATTCACCCTTCCTGAGGAATCTTCTAGAGCTGCCCTAATAGAACTTTGTGCAGTGTTAGAAACATTCTACAGCTGTGATGTCCAAAATTATAGCTACTGGCCATATATGGCTCTGATGAACACTTGAAATGTGGATAGTATAACTGAAATTTTAAATGGCTACATGTGGCTAGTTGCTTCCTTATTGAAAAACATATAGGAGGATAAACTTTATCCAACCAAGATATGACTGGAGAAACTTGGACAGAGGGCCCATGGTGAGCATTTTATTTGATTTTAGAGCTAAAACTAAAACTGAGGATATAGGTAGAAGAAGATGTAAAAATTGTATAGTAGGACATAGTAGCCTGCATCCAAAAAGTGGGGACAAAAAAAGGAGTGGGGGCACTAGAATGAGATCATTGACTTAGATAATAGGTGGTAATCAGAGAATACCATTTAAAAATTGGGTTCCATGCTGAGTATGTAGCCTGCTTAAAATTTTCTCTCCCTCCCTGTGGCCCTCTCCCCAGCTTGTGCTCTCTCTCTTTCTCTCAAAGTATAAAGTAGAATAGATTAAAATGTCAGAACAAATTGCAAACAGAAAGGGAATTAAGGGCACAAAAAAGGTATTACTGCAAAGATATCTACTAAAATAAAAATACAGACCTTTGTAAGGACCAGCAAAAAAATTTTATAAAGCAAAGAGTACATACCAAATAAAGAAACATACATAATAATGATCACATCACACACAAACTAAAGTCCTTTAAAACCCAAATGTCTGCCACTAACAAAGGATTCAGTGATTCAGAAAGGCTATAAAGTCAGAATGGCTAAAATAAAAAAGGCAATAAAAAGCAAGTGTTGACAAAGATGTGAAGAAAGGAACCGTCATGCACGATGGGAATGCAAATTGGTGCATATGTTATAGAAAATACTATGGAGGTTCCTCAGAAAACTAAAAATAGGATTAACATATGATCCAATAATTTTACTATTGGGTATTTACCCAAAGAAAATGAAATCACAAATTTGAAAAGATATATGCACCCCTGTGTTTATTGAAACATTATTTACAAGATCCAAGATTTGGAAGCAACTGAAGTGTCTCTTAATAGATGAATGGCTAAAGAAGATGTAGTATATATCTACAATGAAATATTACTCATCCATAAAAAAGAATAAAATCTGGCCATTTGCAGCAAGATGGATAGACCTGGAAGATACCATGCTAAGTGAAATAAGTTAGTCAAAGACAAATACCATATGATTTCACACATACGTGAAATTTAAGAAACAATACAGGGGCACCTGGGTGGCTCAGTTGGTTAAGCATCAATTCTTGATTTCTGCTCAAGTCATGATCTCAGAGTTTGTGAATTTGAGCCCTACGTTGCACTCTGAATGGTGTGGAACCTGCTTGGAATTCTCTCTGTGCCCCTCTCCCCTTCCATCTCAAAATTAAAAAGAACAAAAAATCTTAGCACTGAAACACAAGAAACAAGACAACTGAATAAAGAAAAAAGAAGAAAAATGGACTCTTAAAAATAGAGAACAAACTGATGCTTACCAGAGGGAAGGTGTGTAGGGGTATGAGTGAAATAGATAAAGGATTGAGAGTATGTGCTTACTGTAATGATCACTGATAAGTGGATAGAATTGTTGAAGTATTATTACCTTAAACTACTATCACACTTCCATGTTGGTTATTCTTCAAAAATTAATTAAAATTAAAAATACACAGAACATGGGGCGCCTGGGTGGCTTAGTCGGTTAAGCGTCCGACTTTCGCTTAGGTCATGATCTCGCGGTTCGTGGGTTCGGGCCCCGCGTCGGGCTCTGTGCTGACTGCCAGCTCAGAGCCTGGAGCCTGTTTCGGTCTGTGACTCCCTCTCTCTCTGACCCTCCCCTGCTCACGCTGTCTCTCTCTCTCCTAGAAATAAATAAAGATTAAAAAAAAAAAAAATACACAGAACAGAGATAGATTAAAATATGACCAAATTATTCCTTTAGTTTTCTGCCTGTGGTTATATAATTAAACTTATTTTATCACACACACCAAAAGAAGGTTAGAAAGTAAACTGGACAAATATTCACCAGGTATGTGAAAATAATTTAAAAAAGGGTTTATGATCCTGATATGAAATAAAGTAGAATTAAAGCAGAAAATCATTAAAAGATTATTTATAAGCTAAAAATGGTATTTCACGATGAGGATATAACATTTGTTAATGTTGATATACTAGATAACAGCCATCTGTAATACAATAGGAAACCATAGGAAATAAAAAACAGGTTGAAATATACTAAAAGCAGAGGACTTTGACCATATTACTCTTTGTGCAAGACAAACTAAGGAAAGATCTAAATGACATAATAAGGCTGCTCTTTTAGATATATCCCAAACACTATACCTTAGCAATAGAGACTGTACCTTCTTTTCACATGCACATGCAGCATTCAGAAAAACTGATAGTATATTAGGGCACCAAAAAGAAAACATCAGCAGGAATCATAATGAAAATATAATCAGTAATCTGATTTCTGCAATAAAACTAGTTATTAAAAGTGAAGCAACAACAACAAGGGGTGCCTGGGTGGCTTAGTTGGTTAAGCATCTGACTCTTGATCTCAGCTCAGGTCTTGATCTCAGGATTGTGAGTTCAAGCCCCACACTGGGTTCCATGCTGGGTGTGGAGCCTACTTAAAAAAAAAAAGAAAGAAAGAAAGAAACAACAAAAAACCTAGGACTGCTGCCTGAAAATGTAAAAGCCTTATATTAATTCTTAGGTAAAGGAGAAATACTAAAACTTCTGAAAAATAATGAAAACACTATAAATTTGAATCTGTAAGATAGATTTAGGGAGTGATGAAAGGAAAATCCATAGCCCTAAATACCTACATAAGGAAAATACAAGCAGTGCCTGGCCGTCTCATTCAGTGGAATATGAGACTCTTGATCTTG